CAGTCTATAAAGATTTACTTGGTGACATCTTAAAAAAAATTACAAGAACTGTAATTGATTAACTCAAGCATCAAGAACAGTACCGATGCCAAAAGGCAGTTCACCTCATTCCCAATGTTACTTCTAGCTGCCAGAAATCGAACAATTAAATCTGAACTAAAGTAAAGTAAATTCGGCATTCTAATTGATTAACCGATGATGATTAAAACCAATCTAAAGCTATAAATGATTTTGCCAATTTTTGTTGAAAAAAGTTCCTTTAAAACTTGACCAATCATGATCAAAATTGTACAGTTAATCAATGTAACACCAAAGTTTATTTCTACCAAATGAGAACAAATATTTTCAAAAGCAGGTCTGAGACGTTTTCGTCTGTCTTTTACAGACTTTTGCACAACTTCGTTTAATCTTCTTTTTCAAATGTTGAAGGGGTTCTCTCTGTGCGTGTTCGGCCTGCAAAGGAAAGCTCCGATACTGTAACACCGAAAGTGGAAGAGTATATTAGGTTTGTATAAGCGTGCGTTACTCGACAGCAGCAAGACTAAATACTTGAAACTGGGAATGCAATCAAGTTTGGAATGTGCAAAGTATAGTCATCAAATTTAAAGGGCTTATTTTGATATGAATGCTCAACAAATGTAGTATTATGATAGGTAAAGGGTAACTTTTAGTCGAGCTCTCTCAACTTGGGCATTTGTCAATTGCTTATTATGTCGGTGTGATGCAGTACGTTGTCAGTATTTAAATTTGTGAGTATTTAAATTTATTGTTTCAGTGGTAAGAAATATGCTTCACCCATTTCATAAAATTACTTCGAAGTAGCCAAGCGGCTAGGCGACTTTTTCATCAACTATTTCGTAAGATTAATTCTTTGCAACCGCTTGTACAATGACAAATAATTAAATTAATCTTAAATTTAAAATACATATCAAATTTATTGGAGTATGTATCAAGATTATACTAAACATTTTGTAAAAAGCAATATCAAAATGACAAGCAAGTACCGCGAAGTATTGAGGGGAAATCGATAGAGACTAGTTTTCCAGACAAATTTTATAATATATTTGATGTTGTTTTGTTGAGTGCTTAGATTGACGTTTAAACTAGTGAAATTCAAAAGGATATTTGTGAGAGTGACCTCTAATGAAGATTGACCCCAATGCATTGTATTTAATTTTCTATATTATTCATGTTGGAGCTTCTATTTAAATTTCTTTACGTTCAAAATATACAATACACACACATACAAAAAAGAAAACATACCCTTAATGCCAGCGCAAAATGGCATCATATCCTCATCAACTCATAACTGGATGAGAGAAATATTTGCATATGAATGAACTGAACTGTGAAGTGAGATGGAATTCGCGCAAATTGCGAAACGTCGCCTCATCGCATATTAATATGAGTCCTTGTGCATTGCTTATTATGTTGAAATATCATTATTATTGGCAAAAATTTAAAAGAAATAGTTTGAACCAAAAAACTCAGCGCTCCATTTTCTCAAGTAATTTAAACATGAGTTGAAAGCTCAGTTTATAGATAGAGCTGACCTTGGCCCAGAAGTATGGCGATTTACTAAAATTCATTACATATGTTTTTACAATGATATAGCCGACTAAATCGAATATAGCTTGAAAACTCTTAATTCCTTTTGGGATACTCCTCCAGTCCATCGAACATTTTTATAGCATACTCTCATGCGCGCTGAATAATAAAAACGCATACGTCGACTTTGCCCGGCAGTCATAAACGTAATTGCAGTCTGCAAGTCCTTGTGAGTGTGTGTGTGTGTGCTTGACAGCTTGACGCTTTATGATGAAATTTATATATGTGACTTTAATATTTCAGTGTGCCCAAAAGACTTGAAGATGACAAACCAATCAAAAGATATCTAGAGAAGGAGTAACAGAGGGCGAGAGCGAGAGGGAGAGGGAGAGAGAGAGAGAGGACAAGAGTGGCGAATTATAAAACGCAATATGTTGTGTGCCTGAAGAGCTGTCCTCAACGACGGCTTTATGCTGTCATTCTTGTCATCTTCAAGCATCATAAAGCTACAATCATCTCAAATTAAAACTTAATAAAACGTTTAGGGGGAGGTAAATAAAAAAGATATGGCAAAGCCTGTGATCTTGTGAAGTTATAATTGCGTAGCATAATTCATTTATATAATTGTAGTTCTTATTGAAAGTTAAGTTATGGGAAAAGAGAGAGTTCCATCAGAAATACTTTAAAAAATACATTATAAGACTTACGTGCTTAGTGAGTAAGCACTAAGCACAGCTAAACTCTAATATAAAAGCCCATTTTCACATTTTCATTATTTGATTCTGAATCTTAGAAAGGATTTTTTCTAAAAATTATTGTTTTGCATTTCTACGATTTATAATTAAGCTTCTTAATAATACAAAATATTTCTAAAAAAAAATAGAAAACACTCGCCATATTTTTGGCAAGTCCTTCTACATTTTTAGAATTTTGTTCCCCTTATATTTAGAAATTATTTCTAAAAACAAGAAAAACTTTGAATTTTTTAGGGCGATTTTCATTTTTTTCATTTCATTTTTTTTCTGAGTGTAGGTAGCTTTGTTTTTGTGTGTGTGATTGCAGTCCTTGTGCAAGCGATAACACAATAAATGTCGCAAACAAAAGCCAGCAGGTGACAACAACATTTGAGGCTACCTCCTTTGAAAAGTCATCAGTAATTGAGCACACAAAACTAGGCTATTTGTTATCACGATTTTGTTTGCCTATTGTTGTTACTGAAAGTAGAAGATATCCACAGTTGATTGCTGTTCAATTCACATAAAGTACGGTTTAATTTCGGTTATATTTTATGGTAAACTACTTTGGCAAGTTTGACAAAATATGTTTATTGGAATATCGCTTAATCGTTAGATTTCTAACCAAAGACAAAAATGAACTGTTTATTTGTGAAATGCCTATTTGATAACCTTGACCTTGACTTTTCGATGAAGTGCATTTTTGCCTTACAGGTAATTTGCACAGAGCGACTCATATATCATTTAACATAATTTTTTGAAAATGCGAGAATCAAAAGAGTCATTGGATTTGTAGAAAGAGCTTCAAAAGAAGTAATGAAATATAATTCGCAGGTTTAATAATAATTAATCAATATCGTATCCATATATTTAATATAATAATAATTGTTAAATTGTGCACAATAATGACTTTTGCTTCCGCTTATATTTCTAGAAATTTGTTGTACATTTTTCACAATAACTCAAAGCCCTTAACACTAGGTCTAAGACTTGAACGACAGACTTGAACGAGTCCCATTCCCATTTTGACTCTCAAGCTAGCGCAAGAGCTGGTATCTTGCAATCTTCGAGCAAAGTTGACCAAACTTATCTTCCTAGTTAGGAACGATTCATGTTAGGGTAATTAATATAGTCTCTCATAGTCAGCCTTTATCTTGCCTACGGACAATAAGTTGGACTTCTAATTGAAAAGGGTACGCGCCAAGAATTATTATCCTCCATAAGGCGGATGGATCCAGGGTCGTGGCAAAGGAAAATTTGGTTCTGTCGAGAAGTTGTGAACAGCTAAGAAGATTTATAAACTTAGGCAGCTTGTGGGGTTAGGTGGGTTGAAGAGTTAAAGAGTTGAATGTGAACTGTGGTTACAACTTTTCAATATGATTTTGATTTGATTTGCGAAAGCCCGTTTCAATTAGCGGTATGTCGTTTCTAATCAAGGCCTCGAATATATTTTTAGCATAATTGTAATTATAATCCTAATTAGAAGCCTGCTCTGCCCTTAAAAAGTTTCATTTTGTTTATCAGCTTGCGGAAATGAATCAACTTCATTTTGGGATTTTGCATGGAGAGATAGGCGGCACTCTACCACGTCTTGCGTATTTTATAATAAATAAAATAAAGTATACAAAATAAATGAAAAATAATAAAAGATGTATATAATAAAACGCGTAACTTATCAAAATTATTTTTGTAAGCAATTCTTTAAATTATTATGGCTTGTTTTATATTTCCCTTGAAATCTAGTAAATCTTTTAAATATTTCAAATTTTTTAAAATTTTAATTAAATTTTCAATTTTATTTTAAATTTAATTTAACATATTTTTACTTTTTCCGGAGCTGGGCTGAATATTTCAAAATGGTGTGGTTTTGAAATTAAGTTAAATACAAACGATGGCTTATACTCACTCACAAAAAAAAAAAACACAAATAAATTTTAATTTCAGATCGAAGTTTTTCAGCATCAGAAACTTCTTTAAGAAGCTTCTTTAACGGCAGGCTAAAGAATCTGTCGATAAGCGATAAGCGATAAACACGACGATGAGCAAACGGTCGATTCTTTTAAGGTGCTGTTGAAAATATGTAAAATGTATTGTATTGTAACTGTCGTCCATAAAATTCATTCAACTTAAATAGGTATTCATACATATCTTTTATGATCCTATGTATTTATAATTCTTAATAGATTTAAAATCTGTATCTAATATACCATTAGCATATTCAAGTTGAACTACAAGAAGGGCCTATTAGCACTCCTGGAGATGAGCTCATCCGCTGAAACCACTAATCAGACAATACAATATATTGTCTGCTTGGTGCTAAAACATTTAACACAATAATTTAAGATTTGGATTACTCTTTTCCAATACGAATACATGTGTCAATGTTTAAAAAATCGCTGAAGTTACCATATATGCATTTGAATAATATGTTCCTTGGCTCTTCGAGAACTAAGTGAATATATTTACTAATGGATTCTAAATATTCTATTGGCAGCTTAGCAGAATGTCAACTGAAATTCATGAATCAATTATTTAACATTCAAGATTTGCGTATAAGAGCGCTGTTATGCTCAAAATGGTACTGCCCGTTAACAGAGTGCAGATGATGTGCAGTTATCGATAACAGTGTGCGTATTCTCATGAAGCAGTTTTGTCGATATGATATCGAATCAGAAGCTAAAACGAAGCCGAACGAGGCGGATGTGTGACGCTCGCGCGCGCTTCATTTTGCATAAGTGCCGCAAAATGCGCGCGTGTTTCAGTTTCCATTTTCTGTTGTCATTTGTTGCTGCTGGCCAAGTGAATTCGCATTTGCATTAATTACCCACACAAGTATATATATATATATGTTCGCTCGTCTCCCATGATACTCAATAAGTACTTAATATTCAAAAAATAAAATAAAAAAAAAAACCGAAATAATTTCATTCAGCCAAACAAACTTGACAACAATAAATAATAAAAACTAAACTACAAAACTGAACGTGGTCCGTCGCTGAGGGACGACGTCGTCGTGTGCGATAAGCAAACCAAAGCAACAACAACTGCAACAAGCAAAGTGTGTGTTTATTTTATTTTCATTGAAGTTGCATTCTTGCCAGCGTCACTGCAACTGCGTTAACAGCAGCAGCAGCAACAATAACAGCAGCAGCAACAACAACAACAGCAGCAACAATAACAGCGACTGCAGCGTTAAAAGTTAGGATTTGTTTCAAAGTAATTAATTTTTAAAAACACACACACAGAGATGTTTGTGTGCATATTGAATTAAGTGCATAATATGAATAAACATTAGAATAATAATTGCACTTACTCGTTCTGTTTGTTCGTATTGTTTTTTTTTTACTGTGCTTTGCTTGTGTTTGTGTTTAATTAGTTTACCTGCGACACGCTCTGTCTTTGTTTTCAGTGTGTGTGCGTGTGTTATGTGTGAATGTGTGTTAGTGTTATTGGTGAGTTGATCTGGTTGCCTTATTTACTTGTCTCTGTTTTTCTGTCTCTGTTTCTGTTTTTGTTTTTGTTTTTCTTTTAGTATTTGTATTCGCTGTTGTTCTTGACAGCTAAACGCAACAGAGCGCGAACAAGCAGCAAACAGAAGTCAAATTACAAACGCTGATCATTTTGCATTCCCTCTCGTATTCTCATTCGCATTCGCAGTTTTTGTTTTTGTTTCTCTGTTCTGCAGCAGCATCAACAGCAGCAGCGATGATCATTTGCCTGCCTGCCTGCTTACTCTCAGCTTCAACTGTCAACTATCAACTCTCTCTCTCTCTCTTAGTCTCTCTTCTCATGCGCGTCGCTCGCTCTTCGTTGCGCTTTTCGCCTACTGCTGTTATCCAAGAACTGTGCATGGGTTAACTACGCAAGGTGGTTTATGTTGATGGACCACACTTAACAGCTGCTAAGTTTTGCCTGTGAACCGTATCCGTATTAAATATTTCGTAATGTAACACATTCTGCAGTCTGCAATTGCAACAATGCAAACCAAATATACAAAAACACAAGCAACTGCAACTACTGCAGCTGCTTAACAGCTACCACCTTCAACAGTTTCACCATGATCTGTATCTCTCACCGCCTCTCCTTTTCTCCCACTGTATCTATTGCTGTTTATCTCTTTCTTGCAATTACGCGAAAGCAGTTAACATGTGTAAGAAGAAAAACAAGAGGAGGAAGAAGGTGCAAAGCAGCAATTTCCTTTTTGGTCAAATGCATTAAATGCCATTTAATGGCATCGCCTCTTGCTGTGCCCTGCAACAGTCGTTAACAGGGCCACTTCACACGCGCTTCGCGGCATGCCACATTTTTAGTGGCACTTGACCACAACAAGGCAGGAAAACCATGGTCAAAACTTTTAGACAAAAACAGACCAAAAAGGCCAACATATCAGCATATGTTGCTGCTGCTGTCACAAGCAGCATGCAGCATGTGGACACCATAAGTTAATAAAATAAAATGAATAATTAAGTATTTAATTGCGTTCCCTTTATTCACAATGATATTCATGATATTCACGTCCCATTCTATAGATTGTTTTGGATTTATTTTAAACATAATTATCGTAATTATCACTATTAAGAAGATACTTAAAGTCAAATCGCTTAAACACATGTTGTATATAATCGCAAATCTGCTTAACATATCGATTTCTATAAATAATGCATAAGTGGTGCTATTATTTGAATTCAAAGAGAATACCAAACAATATTAAATTAAAAATCAAAATTTGAAAAAATTGCAAATGTAATTGTTTTTTCCTTTGATCAGCAACAAAATATATCTTTGTGGATCTAATATTTTTTCGCAGCTGCATATCCTCCGCCTCCCTGCTTTCCCTAGAACAATAAGATACTTTCGTTTCTGAGAATTATCTTTTTGTATATTTGAACATTGAGATATAGCCAACCAATTGATACATAATACATTGTATTAAGATCGTATGAGAAACACAGATTTAGCCTAGACGTAACTCTCTCTCTCTCTCGATCTATTGAAGTTGAAGCAATCCTAAATTGAAGTTGAATAAAATGTACAATTTCTCCGAGTGTATAATGCACATTGCACACACATACTTATACTAAGTAAGCAAGTAATGCCGATACGTTTGACGTTGAACGTTTGACTAATCTCATATTGAATTTCAACGCTTGACGTTTGTCTGGCAACCCATGCGTTAAGCAGGCGTTTACAGTGGGCTGGTGGGAGGGTGCAGGAGGGTTACGAAAGTGCGCACACCACTTGCACATAATCTAGACGCGGCGACGGGAGCAACAGCAACAGCAGCAACAACATCAGTACTATAATCTTACGTAAGCATCTCAATGTCAGTTTGAGTTCTTCTACAGTTTTGCAGTTTAACAGCTCTGCAAATATTATCTGTAAATGATATCACAACAGCAGCTAACATTTTAATTACAGTTGTAAGCGATCTTAAGAGATACATATATTGGGAGAGGGAAATAGATAATAACGAACAAAGAAAATATACTTAAAAAAGGAAGATAGCGTTTATATTCTATTTCTGAAATGAAATTTTTCGTCTTGAGTTCAGTAAGATCAGTTTCGGAAAACTTCAAATGAAAACATACACAACTTAAAACTAATATGTACATATTTATTATGGTGCGATTTGTTGTACAAATACAAACACAATACAAACAAAATACAGCTACACAGATACTTTGAGAGACGCACGCGCTTAAGACCAGTTTCAGATTTCGATTTTGTCGCTGAAAACCTCTCGACAAATTTCCGAAGTGTGAAGCGACACTAACATTAACATTAACATCAACAGCAGCAACGACGACGACGTCGGCAGCGACTGCAAAAACAGCTGTTTCGTTTTGTCTCGTTTCGAACTGAAAGCAAAGCCAAAGCGAAGCGGGTTCTCATGTCCGTCCAGCTGTCCAGTTGCTCAGATCGTCGAATTCTGATCGATTTTTGGTGTTATTCAGCTTGCAAATTAGGTTTTTATTATACCCTTTCAGCGGGTATTCAATTTTTGTGAACACATTGAAACGAATTGAATTATTGCCTTTCTGTTCTCATTAAAGCTATTAAATAATTCGATTGCTTTTATTATTAGTTAAGAGGCTTCAAAATCGTTAAGTTATCTTGATGCTAGTATAGTTAAATAGAGTAGTTTATCAATTGTTGGTCCAAAATTAACTCATGTAGCATGACATTTGAGCTGCAAATATGAATAATTGAAATCCAATAAGCCAAATATCCAATTCAAAAATGTGTCATTGAACTCAAGACTTGCAGCTACAATTGTGGTTGCCACCACAAGTACAAATATATAAATATATATTTCAAATATAACAAGTTCTTAGATAACAACATCCCATCCATATATTTATATCTACATATACTGACTAATTTATATTAAAAACTGTAAAAATATGTATTTGTTTCCTGCAACTATTTCTAATGCGCCATCTCTCTCTATAGGTTCTCTACGTTCTCATATAGGTGGGAAGATATTATAACAGTATAACACATTATAACAATTGAGAGTGGTACTTACGTAACTCTCTCAACGTAAACCGATTGTAAAAATAGCGATGTTGTCGATTGATTTACAATTGTGCTAGAGATCGATGTAATTTTTGGACAATCGATCGAAGGGCAAGTACAAGTGAAAAAAGATTTAATTTCATTGAATTACTTCTGCAATTACTTCATGCAATTTGGAATATTGATTTAGTTTTCTATATAAATAAAGTTATTTATGTAATTATTGATCAATATATCGATAATTGAAAATAATCGGTTTTGGATGTTCGTGCAAACCCAATAAACTCAAATATTTCGCCAGAAATACAATAAATTCAATTGAATATATTTAACAGCTGAGTGCAGGGTATCTGTTAGTTAGGCATCATTATCAACTAGAGCGCTCTCACCTTACTTGTTTGGCTTGTTGTTGTTGTGGTTGTTGTTGCTGGTGCTGTTGTTGTGGTTCTAAGTCAATCGCCGGGAGTCGAGTCGTGAATCAGACTGAATCTGAATCTGACTGAATCTGTGACTGTGACTACGACTGCGGCGAGGTGACGTAATGCGTATGCCTAAAATGTCATTTATACGCTTCAGCAGATCAAGTATCAATTACAATCAATCACACAAAATCGTTGGCCAATCATTTTTGTGGGTCATGCATTTGATTAGACGCCAATTGGCTCTTGGCTCTTAACTGTTGACTCTTGGCTCATCCACCCCAAAAAGTTGACACTTTCAAAGGGAAGATGGTCAGGGTCAGCCAATGCCTGGATAAGTCAAAATATTAACAATTTTGGTCAACTACATTAATGAGGGACTGCATTGTAATTGTAAATGAAAAAATGAACAATGCTCAACAAAAACACAAATTGGCCACAGAATATACTAACTGAACACACACACACACATATATCTACATTATATACATACAATTTGTTTATTTATATATCAGTTAGCACCTGTGGAGAGCTGAAAGCTTCATGGAAGTGCAAAAGTTTTTCTCGCCTATTTCGAGTTGCTGCTTCAAAGTAAATTATAATTATCTAAAAATAGCCTCAAATTAACGTTTCGACAGATTTCCCCACTTGAGGCCACTTTTCTCACATACTCTCAAGATACTTTATCGACTTGTTGCTGTTGTTGTTGTTGTAGTTTTTGTTGCTTTGTTGATTTGTCAGCTGCTTGCGTAGGAATTGAATGATGATATCGGATTACCAAAAGCTTTCCGTTTCATGTTGCACATTGCGCTTTTGTTTCACACAAACGCATACACAGACACACACACACACACACGCACATTGCGTGCAACATCTTGCCAACACCTTTGCATACCCTGTTCCCATTCGAATTTATTCAAACGGGTAACATTTGGTCAGTTTGTCCTCACTGACAGACTAATTGACCGACTGGAGTGCTCATTGGTTACACTCAGAGAAAAAATCGATCGGAATTTTTTTTTCTGAGTGTGGGGAAATTTGATTTGTGAGAAGATTTGGGTTTCAGTTTTGAAGCCATCTTGTTAAACTCTAGAGGATATTTCATCTCCAATACGAACAATCGGCCGGGATTTGAATCGTTTGTTAATGAAATTTAAATCTTCAAACTTTGGCTATTCCTTTGCAAAATATTGGTCAAGTTTAGAGATTATTATTATGTATTAAGGTTGCATAAGAAACACAGATAGGCAGATGTTAAGGCATACAAGCGAGTAGGAA